CTCTCTCTCGCCCCTGTCTCACACCGGCACGCACGCGCGCCGGGCGCCACTGCTGGCAGTGTGTCGGTCCGCTGACCGGCGCCCGGCCGATCCCCGTGAAAGACGCACACTCGGTGCGCGCGCACATCGTCACTGCGAAGGCGCCCCGTGCACCCGCTGGTATCACCGCCATCGCGCCGGCCGCTCAGAAGGTCGTCGGGGTCGTCGTCGAAATTGTCCACCTTTTCCGACTCCAGCCGGCGGCCGAGCCGTGCGGTCCCGAGTAGTCGCTGCGCCAGCTGTCGTAGATGTTGTAGTTCTTCATATCATTGTTCTTCGTCTCGCGGCTGGCGGAACGCTGCGGCGAGAGGGGGCGGGTCAGGATAGTGGCGCGGGAGGGCCAGAGCCCGCTCAGTGCAGCTGGACACGGGTCCGGAGTACTCGGCCGAGGCTTTCCGCGCGGGTGACGCCCGGTCACGGCATGAAGAATAAATACTCCAACAGGGGAGCATAACCTTGATCACTATAAAAAAACATTGAAAAGCTACCACGCTAAACGCAACGTCTGGTTTGATTCGTTCGCCGCCCTGGACAAGAGGCATCGTTGCGCTTGGTGCCGATATACCCGCCGACCTGGGTCAGGTTATCCCGCGAGAGGTTGCTGTCACCGGGGAGGAAGTTTTCTAAGACACCTCGTAACCAAAGAGTCTCGAGGCCCCCACACCATACCAACTTCCCTGAGGAGTGAAGCATCGCTCCCGTAGGATGGTTTAACAGAATATGTTTGCTATTGATTACCAGTTGTTAGCAAACTAATGATCGGGAAATCCAACCATGTTCAAAATACGATACACTGAAATTGACCCACAAAAGTTACGGATAACCTAGGCACAAGACGAGCGTCTGCATTCGAGTCAACCTGATCAATTTATTATTGAATTTTAAACTTGGACAAGAGCATACTACACGGCGTTAAACGATACAAGAACGGTTTGCCATCACCTAAGAGGCACAGTGTGGTACTGACGTCACGGCAAAGACCGGGACATTTCACGCAATTTAAGAGCACGAAACTCGTGCGTCAACAAGATCAGAGAAGCGCGTCGCGCACTGTGACAGTCACGGCGGTGACCACGGACCCGCCAGCTTGGCCAGCGACCTCCGGGGGAGAGAGAACTCCTAGTGTTAAGGACAATTTCTGAACCGTCACAAAAGGCGGGCAGGCAGGGCCATGATTTTTTACGCATGTCAGGCAGTCAATTTGACGGTGGTGCTTAGCTCGATGCTGAGTTCACAAAACGCGACGTCAATAGTGAAGGCTTTCGCGGCTTTTTGCATCTATGTGTGCATCAATTCACAGTCTTCGCCTTTGCCTTACCTCGCTTGAGCGTCATTCTTCTCCTGGTCTGACTACGGCGGGGTCGGTTCGCAGTAGGTCATGAACAGAGACCACGTAAGGTACGCTCTCCAACCGATGTGATTTGTGTCGCCTAAACCTTGTGCTCGACACAGTTGCGCGTTTGATGAAATGCCCCAGGCCATGCCAGGTTAAGCGGGCGGTCGCACACCGGCAAGTGTGGCGTCGTGCCCAACCGGTCTACCCACGAGAAATTTGACATCAGCGCATTGGAGCCACACAAATTTGACAGCCAGGCATTGGTGCCACTCTGGCGGGGAATGTGCCCACAGCCGCTCCGGCATTTTAACGCGCCTGGGTTGGACCAATGCCCGTTGGGATTGCTTTCACGCTGGCATGCAAATGCCGCTCTGGACATTTTACATGACTTCATTAGACTGTAGTCTGACTCTGCACACGACCCCGGGTCCCTCTCCTCCTCTCCACTTCCAGCGCCGCCCGCCGACGTCACGCGGACCCGTTACGGGTAAGTACGCAAATTTTCACAGGGAGGGGTAGGGTAGGTCCCAAGCACACCACTCCCGTCCCCTCGCCACGGCGACCTCTCCACCTCACATTTAAAACCTATGTCTATCACTGGGACGACCCCTGAGCACCCGCCGCCCGACCGTCAGCTGTACCCTCGCCGGATCCCTCACCACCCAGCTTCCAGCTCTCACCAGCTGTCGACCCCTGAGCATCCCCCCCCCCCCCCGACAGACAGCTGTACCTTAACCGAATCCCTAGCCAGCCAGCTCCCAGCTCTCACCAGCCGTCGGTCGTAGGTGACCTTGTCATTGTTCCAGGCGTCGTCCGGGTCGTACACATCGTCGGCGCCGTAGTTGTCGACGCCGGCCATGTGGCTCTTGTCCAGCTCGTTCAGCATATCGGCCGTTAGCGGCACGGTGGTGCGCGGCGCCCGGCCTCGCCTCTTACGCCGGTTCCACATCTGAAACAGCGGCGAGCAAGAATGAATGGTCGGCGCCCGGCCTCGCCTCTTACGCTGGATCCACATCTGATTCAGAAGCCCTCACTCACACAGGGTTGGCTCGGAAGCCTGGATGCGGTCTGACTGGTCATCCGCAGGCAGGGCTTTACACGCTCGCACCAGCACATAGAATGGAACTATCGCGGCCCCGGCGCGATATTCCCTCGAACCACAACGACGTCGTGCCCGAAAATCCTCGACGCGTGAGAAGACGCGAGAAGCTCGTGGCGGCAGTTCGATTTCGTATTTCCGCGGGCACAGGCCGGCTTGGCGGCAGTGGTGCGCGAAACCCTCCAATTGTGCCGGGATCCCTTCTCTGAAGACACAAACCAGCCGTGCAATCATGCCCACATGGAGAGCCACCGTGGCAAATCCTGTCCAATTATCTTTATCGCCCGAGGACTCGGGCTTGGATCGTTTGTCGCCACCGAACTGCTCTCTGAAGGCATGGTGTCATCCTCCTGGCAAATTGAAGACCCTCTGGAAGCGGTCCTGAACTGTGCAATTAAAACTATCTAAAAACACGCCATGCAAACAAGTGTTAACCGGGTGCACACGCATACCTCTCCTGTGACACACACTCAACCATCCGGATAGCCAAATTTCGAAACTTGCTTTTTAATATCCGCGAAATTGCCAAACGTACTCTCCAGTACGATTCCGAATTTTGGAATGGATTCAGCTAAGCCCTTTTCTGAAGCAGACAGTTTCACTCGCCACACATCAGCCGTCCGGGACAAGCAATCTACGCCCCAAGGAACACTATCTCGGACGAGGGTTGCCGTTCCTCAATCTATTGAGCCCACGCCGGCTTTTGGGAAGAGACGCGCAGCGAAGCTGCCACCGAGGGCGGCGCCAACTTTTCGAGCAGCTCCTCACCGAATGGGATGAGCTCAATTGGCCCTCTGGACCGGTTCGACACTGTCTACAGCCCTCCAAGTTTGCTCAGGCGTCGTCAGAGAGCGCTGGCCAGCGTCGTCACGGCAGCGGCGCTGCCGGGCCGGGCCTGTGTCGAGCGGCCTGCCGCCGGGCGGGGCGCACCACTGCCAGGCCGAGGGCCACAGAGCCGCGGGCCGACGGACAGCTCAGCTGGCCGATCAACCGACCGGCTGGCCCGATCAGACAGATCCATATCCGCCATAACGTGAACAGAGTTGGGCCCGGGTCGGCGCTGCCGGCTGGTGGTGGGGCGGACCGGCGCTAGGCCCGGTCTCGCACCATTTGCAGCTGTCAGCGGGTGCCACGGTCCGCCGGGGCCGAGCGCACGACGCCACTCTCCGCCCACTTGGCCTCCGCGAGCGCGGCGCTAATGGCGCCCGCTGCTGGAGGTCCCCAGGGCCACCTCGTTCCGTGCACGCCGCCTGCCATCGAGGTCCCCCGTCAGACTCAGGCCCTCAGCAAAGGTCTGAGAAAAGCACGGCTCATCGCGCACCCAGACCGAGCTGTCGGCCGCAGCGAAGCGCTAATCGCCGCCATGGCAACCGCCAGGAAGCAATAGAGCTGCTCTGAGAAGCGGAAATCAGAGCGCATCTATCTGCGTACTTCAGCGTTGACGATAACGTTTCCGCCGAGTCTGAAACCGTTCCGACTAGAAGTTATGCACACTGATTAGCCTATTTTCTCGAAGGAGTTCTGCTTTCGAGCTGAACTCCGAGGAGCCGCCTGCCGTGGTGGGGAGGGAGAGGCAGGGGTTCTGGATTAGCATGATAACAAGTCCAGCCGCGTCGCCAGAAGTCGCCAGCTGCCGGCTCGTGGTTCAGCCGCATCGGCAGAGGTCGCCGGCTGTCAGCTGCATGGATGCCATGACGGCGCCACCACTTTTTACCGGCGCGACGCCGCGGACGTGTACACATCTCCGGAACGGGGGCAGCACGACAGCGACGGCGCGGCTGGGGCGGGGTCGGCGAGGCCGCACCCGGCCGTCGGCGACGCTGACAGCGAACGTCCGCGTGTGGCCGACTCGCTGCCACCCGCCGGCTGTCGGCGGGCGACTCGGCACGCTCAAGGCTGGCGGCCTGGCCATCCGGCGTGTTGACCAGCTGTGGGAGCGGTAACCGGCGGTCCGGCGGCCACGCTATGCCGTGCCAGGCGTGTGACCCGAGCTGGCCAGCTTTCTCCCGGAGTGGTGGCCATACCGACCGACGGGACCCACGCTGGCTCGGTCACCTCAGGGAGCCCGTCTGCGGGGGTGCCGGAAAGAAGCTATCATACGGTGAAATGGACTGCAGAACGTAAATCAGTGGATGTGTGTTCGTGAAAATTCATCGGTCAGATGGAGTGGTTTAAGAAAAAAATTGACATTTTGTGCGCGCTTGGCCAGGGAATGTTCGTTCTCATCTGTATAGACGTTGTCTTAGTTTTCAGAGAAGCCATCAAATCCTTTTGATTTTTTTCGTCACTGGGCAGAGCTTGCGAGGATCCAGCGCATAAAGTGACCTGAGCACGGGTCAATATAATACTATATATCATGAACATCACCGAGCAGACCACCACCGGCCCATTACAAAGAGCTCACACGGGCAGAAACGCACTGAAAGTGAGGAAGGAAGATGGAGTCAGAAAGTGTTTCATCATGAGAGAAGCTAATTCATGTATTAGTAAGTGTGTGCATGAAAGATGATAAAATCGCGTATTTAGAGAAACGTCCAAACATATGCTATAGGGAATGCTCCCCATTTGAAGGCATTTAAGTAAACATCAGATAAAAGGAAACATACTCACTTTTAACTATTCGTATACTTTAAGTGAAAAAGATTACTCTTGGCACCAAAATTTATCTATTTAATAAATATGCTCCTCAATAAGTGAATGTTTGATTGCATCATAGACCGTTTGTATGACGTGGAGATACTGTCAAACTGGCAGTGCTAAATTGCCACTTACTTATAGTACTTCAAACTCATCGAAAGATGGCAGCACGGGTTGGCACTGTTCGCTGAGCCAAATATTGTTATGTGCTCATGTTTTGGTCTTTTCTCGTGGTGTTCTTGCATAATTATTCGTGAGTTTAAGATGCTTACTGGCATTGCTATTCTCGGTTATGACGCTATTCTTAATTCACTCGATTACAAGTCTTATTTCCATAATAGCCAGCAACTGAGGAAGCCATGTCTAACCGAGCTTTGATATATATATATATATATATATATATATATATATATATATATATATATATAGAATTTAGCCCAAAACGAGGTTCGTGATTGACGCTTGTACAGCTTGCTCAGCATCGTGGAGAGCCAATCGATATACACTTTAATTGGAAATCTCGCTCACGGACGCCAGATCTGAACGGCTGGAGGATAATATTTTCCTAGTTTTGAACGCCGCCTGGACTGTGAGCTGGCAGCATTTGCATGACGTTGCTATGACGTCATGCACGCCTGGGTAGCCTTGAAATAATTTGCACGAAACAAATCTGCACATCTTCGCGGGCGCATGGCCAGAAAATGTTTGTTTTCAGACCTTCAAAATGTTTGTTTTGGCTCAAAACTATATACAAATGTGAAACACTGCCTTAAAAGACACAACAAATTTATTGCGCGGCGTTGAACATTTTCGGAACATTTAAGGAACAAATGGTGCTATTTCTTCTCCTTTGAAAACACCCCCGGATGATAGTTTATAGAATATACATAGAAACAACCCGGCAGTCATACCATGCAAGCGCAGGATGTGTCTGGCAGTGTAAAACGACAGGCCATCCCGAGTGGGGACATCTTAAATCTCCCCATGTGAGGCCTCGTTCCACTTGTCGCCCCATGCTAGTGAGCCACGGCCCCATGATACGACTCGTCCACGTGAGCGACCATTCCATGTCACGCCCCGCCCGCGTTAGCCACCATTCCATGTCACACCCCGTCCGCGTTAGCCTCCATTCCATGTCACGCCCCGTCCGCGTTAGCCACCATTCCATGTCACACCCTGTCCACCTGAGCCACCGTCCCATGTCACATCCTGTCTGCGTGAACCAAGACCCCATGTCACGCCCCATCCGAGTGACCCAAGCCCCCATGACACGCCCAGTCCGCGAAAACCATAACCCACGTCACACCCTGCCCGGGTGAGGCACGATCCCATGTCACGCCGTGTCCGTATGAGCCATGGCCCCATGCCATGCCCCGTCCGCGTGAGTCATCCGCATGTCACGCCCCGTCTGCGTGACCCTGTGCCCCAAGTCACACCCCGTACGCGTGAGCCATCGTCCCATGTCACGCCCCGTCTGCATGAGCCACGGCCCGACGTCACGCCCCATCTGCGTGAGCCACGTCCTGATGTCACGCCCCATCTGCGTGAGCCACGGCCCGATGCCACGCCTCGTCCGCGTGATGCGGCCTGGGTGAAGCGGCGTCTGCCGGCCGCGGTGACGAAGCCGGCGCTTGGCACCGGCCAGATCGTATCAACGCGGAACTCTCGGACGGCAGCGGGTTCCGTTCAAGGCTGACCACGCCCGACGGTTAGCTGCGGGCCAGCGGTGGGCGCCAGTGGCAGCGGCTCCCTCGCGCAGCACTGGGCCGGGCGAGCTCATAGCGTATCGAGCCCGCACACTGCAGATACGTCACCAATCACATACGAGAGCCACCGAGTCCCAGGACTGCTGGGGTAGATCAGATGATAAATTTACGGTCGACTTTTGGCACTAAATCTCGTCTGATTAACGTCGAGCTCGGCTGGGTGAAGTTACGCCGATGCGTGAGTTAGAGCGCGCCGCATCCATTTTTCGCGAAGAATCAAAGGACAGCCAGCGAGGTAGCTTGCATTCTTTTTCACTTAAACTTGCTCAGGAAACCGTGGAGTTTGCGAAGACCCACGTTACTGGACACTTTCGCCTAGTAATGAAATGCTACGGCAGGATGATTTAGACGACAGTTAAACGCCGTCCTTCAACGCCGCGGAGACAATCGCATTTGCGCAGCAGCACTATAAAGCAGCAGAACCGGGCGCGGGGTCCGGCCGATGGCAGACGTCCTCGCCAGTCGGCTCGTTCGCGGCCCAACAGTCCCATTACACTCTCAAAGCACACCGACAGCTCACCTGAGCGGGGCGACACGGAAGCAACAAGGTTGTTCCGCCCGCTATTGCACACGCTGTGAGCCCGCCAGCGTACATCAGCCTCCCTCAGCCGGTGGCCAATGGAACGGCAGGGGCTGCCCCGCTGGCCTGGGCTGAGAGGACTGGTGCGCCCCACCGGGTTCTCCACTCTGTGTGCTGGTCCTGCCCGTGAACCGCCCCTGGTAGGACAGAGGGAGCCACCAGCCTGGATGGGGGGGGGGGGGGGGGGGGGTAAGGCCGGGGAGGAGATCGGACGAGCGTGGGACGGAATGGACGGGCTACGGACGGAGTGGATGTGACTGGAAATGGGCTGGGGCTGAGCTGGGCTGAGATCGTGAATGAAGTGGACTGAGCTGGGGATGTAGGAGCCGAACACGTTGTGATATTGGGGCGGAGCAGGCTGGAATGGGTGAAAGCGCAGTGAGATGGCTTGAGCGGAGTCGCTTCGGAGCTGAACGGACTCGTCTGATACTCAGGGGCTCGACTGGACTCGTCTGGGTTGCAGGAACTCAACTGAACTCATTTGGAAGCAGGATGACCTGGGCTCGGAGGGACGGTAGGCCAGATTCCGGGTGGAATGATGTCATCTCGGGGAGAGGTGGAGTGGACTTGAGTACAGCGGTCACCCGCCCCCGCGTGGAGTAATCTCATCTCGGGGAGAGGCGGAGTGGACTTGAGTACAGCGGTCACCCACCCCCGCGCGGAGTAGTCTCATCTCGGGGAGAGGTGGAGTGGACTTGAGTACAGCGGTCACCCACCCCCGCGTGGAGTAATCTCATATCGGGGAGAGGCGGAGTGGAATTGAGCACAGCGGTCACCCGCCCCCGTGTGGAGTAATCTCATCTCGGGAAGAGGTGGAGTGGACTTCAGTACAGCAGTTACCCGCCCTGTGTGAAGTGATCCCATCTCGGAGAGGGGCGGGTGGGCTTCAGTGCAGCAGTTAGCCGCCCCTGTGCCAAAACACTCACCAGCACGATACCAAAGATGAGCATGAAGAGGAGCGCGGTGAGACCGATGACGATGACGGCGATACTCCACTCTGGGATCAGGTAGTTCGCCTCCGCCTTGGCCAATACAGGCTGGGGCTTTTGGACTGCAACACAGACACCGTTCACAAACCGTTAGCATGCTGCCTACTGCTCAGCATCGGGTTTTATGTACTCCACGATCGCGATAGTCTATCAACATCCGCATGTCTACACGCATGGCAAGTTTACCAGACAAGATTCGAAAATAGCCATTGTTGGGCATTGATCCGGAGTCGTCGTCCATCTCTCTGACATGAGATTGATGGAGGTTGTAACTATCACGGCAATCGTCCCGCACAATCATATGCGAATCCCAAATGCCCTCACAATGGGGTGCCGGCGTGGTCCAGGGTTCGAAAGTGGGCCGAAGCATTTACATGATCACCTGATCAGTAGTGTCTAGTGAGATGTAAAACAACCAATTATGACCATGCACGATCCGCAAATCGGTATATATAAAAACGGTAAAAAACGGTATATCACGCTTGGCAGTTCACCGACAGTGTTTTTGGTATATATCACGTCTGCGTTTCTTGGCTGAAATCTGGGCAGTGCCAGCCTAAGACTGACAGTACTGATTGCCGGCGAGGCTGAGCCTGTCTTTGCCAGGTGAGTTAAGTTTCCATGACCCGGCCAGGTCAGGCTGATCACGTACAGTCCGCAGCATCTTTTTTGAGGAACGCAGCGCACGTCGTCACGCCCTACTACGGAGCCCCAGCGACTGCACTGACCATGTTAGCGCTCAGGGGCCATGGGAGCATTTAACGGCACAACGACTTGAAACAAATGGCACACCATTTACAAGGTGCATCCATTACAGGGTGTACAGGCACGAGGTATACACTTCGATGGCAACAACTACAAATCACGCGCCACTTGATCTTTATTAGGCACACCACTTGATTTTGACCGCCAGTGGACAGCGTATCGAAGCGAACTATAATTCGAGCAGTTCGTTATTTGCGAACAATCAGCGCATTAACCATAATGTACTCATCTTCGCCGGTCATGATATTGTTGATGGCGAAGAGACAAAACAATGCAGTTAATTGTTGTGTCCCAGGCCCAGATATGCACCAATGCGACAACATCCCTGTTTACATTGGAAAATAAATGGTTGCCAGATTGGAACAAATAGTGCCAATAATAATTACCTCGGTTTTTCCTTTGGGCAGGCATTGGGAATTATCAAAATTTGTTCTGCAAGTGCGTTTGTGCTCTTTACCTCACACCCAGGCTGTACAACTGACTGCAATAACTTCAACACCTTGAATGAGTTTCAAGACGCATAAATACCTCGTAAAAACATGTTCTCATGTCGAGTATCGTCGTTCTAGAGCTTAAAAACCGTGGTACTCATTAAAATGATATTCTGAACAATGGCTGACTGCATCAAATATTGCGAGATGATCTAAATGGGTAACATTTAACGCGAAATAATAATCTCTATTGTCTCCTTACTCGTCCAATACTGAGAAGGATTTTTAACTGGTTTCAGGTTGTCTTGAAATTGCAGCAGTTCTGCTAACGGTGCCATGGGCTCCCAAAGAGGCGAGGTCGTTGGCCGTGAGAGCCGTGCTTGGAAATTACGCGGCCCTGTGCGGCTGTCACGCTTGCTAGAAGCTAATATTTTTGTGACTGCCGATCGCAGGTTCACGCAGTTGTTGGCGCGGAATGCGAGTTTTTAAAATGTGTGCTGTGCAAGCTATTGAACATTTCCGTGCAAACCGGTCGGGCTTATTTTACCTGCGACATAGCAATATCGAAGCGATTTCACCTCCCCCACCTCCCCTCCACCTCACCTCCTAACATAGAAACCAAGAAGCTTCCAGGTTGTGAAATGACTGAAGAATGCGGCTCCAAGCCGGGTCCAGATCTCGCCGGCCCAACATCACAGCGGTACGGGACCAACGGAGGAGAAAACGGACAGCGCACCAGCGAAGGTGGGGCGTCGATCTGTGCGGATCAGACACGCGCTGGCGTGCGCATGGAACATGGACCTGCGCTTTGGGACAGGTTTGTGGATTCATGTCAGATCTCGACAAGCAGAATAGATGAACAGGTAAAACCAAAAGTGCGGTGTAGGAAAATGTACGGCTGCAAGTCACGAGCAGGTCCTTAAACCGTCCAACTCATACATGGACGTGCTAGTAATCGACCGAGAGCGGCGAATGCTTCCTTTTCCGAGACCGATCTCAAGTATAAGCGCTATGCCCTATACCCGAGAGGGATTGGGCCCAAACACTGCACAGGCATATTGACCTGTTTGTTGTGACCAATAGCCACTGGAAACCCTCGCTTTTTCATAGTGGGTATTTTGGTCGCAGTTGCCAAAACCATGCATCACCGCACATTTTCTTAATTCGCGGGTTAAATGTCCAAGCCTAATGAGTCTCACAGCCACTCATAGGTAGCCACGTTTCAAGGAATATCATTCGTCAATTAGCAGCATCTGCTGCATCAGCTGCATCAGCGCACCTTTGCCTGCTGAATTCTCATGAAAGGTAGACCAACGCCTTGATTAAACCCACTGGAATCGAATACCGAAGGTAACTGGCTCCGTTATATTTTCTGACATCGACTGCAGGATAAAGCTGAAAACGCTTACATCTGTTTTCGCTTTGCTCGCCTCGCACTACGCAATGCGTCCCGCTGGGCTCGTGCTGTTCTGAGCTAAAAACACGCCGGATCTACACATATCCTTATCGATCATTGACAGGCTGCGTGCTGAGACAGCTCTCGATCGACAGCGACCATTATCAGGCGTCAAGCAGCCAACTGGGGAAGGGATTTGGTGCTGGCTCAGTTCTCGAGGTCACGCGTGAGAGCCCATGAGATTCTGCATCCGATTCTGCCAATGTCATGTGATGATGGTTAAGTGGTGTTGCTTCCGTCTGGGCCCAAGGTGGGCTCGGTGTTTGCGCATCGTTAACAGGTAAACCAACGGGCTTATTCCCGAGGCCACAACAGCGCAGGTGTGCCTGGACTCCGTAAACAGTGGATTCAAAACCAAAGCGTGTGACGTAAGCTCATCGCGTGGAAAACGCAAGCCGAAACTGCTAAAAAAACAACGTTAAATTAACGAACGAAAAGTCCAACAACTCCAACACAGCAGCCGCGAGGCAGCCGCGGCCGCCCTGGTGCCGATCGGCTGCCTCTGCCGCTGGGAGCTGAGCCTGCTCCCGACGACCGGCGCCGGCAGCACAGAGCCGCCACCAGCGGGAGACACTGCATCAGCGGGAGTGGTGACGGCACGCCGGTGGGGACGGTGACGCTGCGCCAGCGGGATAGCGGCGTTACGCCAACGGAGGCGGCGACGGTACGTCCGAGAAATGGTGAGGCTAAACCGATTGCGACGGTTTCGAAATATTTTCGTGTCCGACGGTGCCGGAATTCGGGTGCTGACGATGCGTCCAAGCGCCTTAGTTGAGCAAGCAAGGTTCGACAAAGCTGTTGACCATCTGCTGATAGCTGACGGGCTCTGACGGAAGGAGGTCCGTCGGCTGACAGAGAGCTGTTGGCTGGCGGACCGGTGACGGTGCCAGTAGCTGAGGGCTCCGCACAGGGCGGTAGGCTGGCGGACCCGTGACGGTGCCAGCAGCTGAGGGCTCCGCACAGGGCCGAAGGCTGGCGGGCCCGTGACGGTACCAGTAGCTGAGGACTCCGCACAGGGCCGAAGGCTGGCGGACCCGTGACGGTACCAGCAGCTGAGGACTCCGCACAGGGCCGAAGGCTGGCGGACCTGTGACGGTACCAGCAGCTGAGGACTCCGCACAGGGTCGTAGGCTGGCGGACCCGTGGCGGTACCAGTAGCTGAGGACTCCGCACAGGGTCGTAGGCTGGCGGACCCGTGACGGTACCAGCAGCTGAGGACTCCGCACAGGGCCGAAGGCTGGCGGACCTGTGACGGTACCAGTAGCTGAGGACTCCGCACAGGGCCGTAGGCTGGCGGACCCGTGACGGTGCCAGTAGCTGAGGACTCCGCACAGGGTCGTAGGCTGGCGGACCCGTGACGGTACCAGTAGCTGAGGACTCCGCACAGGGTCGTAGGCTGGCGGACCCGTGACGGTACCAGTAGTTGAGGACTCCGCACAGGGCGGTAGGCTGGCGGACCCGTGACGGTGCCAGCAGCTGAGGGCTCCGCACAGGGCGGTAGGCTGGCGGACCCGTGACGGTACCAGTAGCTGACTGACTCGGGAGAGAGCCGGTCGCTAACCGTAGCGAGATGGAGTCAGCAGCAGACGGGCTGCAGTCGGTGGTAGACACGGCTCAGTCTGGGACCGCCAGGCTGACCAGAGCGGACAAGACGGCGCGCTGACACCTGCTGCTGGTGCGGACCGGCCCGACTGCCGGACCACAGCCCGCCCTCTGCCTCTGGACTGCCTGCCCAGCTCCGCCGCCAGCCAGCGCGCACTGGGCTGGCTCTTCAGATCCTCTGCCAGGCAGCGCACACCGGGCTGGCTCTCCAGCTCCACTGCCAACCAGCACACACCGGGCTGGTTCTCCAGCTCCTATGCCAGCCAGCGCACACCGGGCTGGCTCTCCAGCTCCTCTGTCAGGCAGCGCACACCGGGCCGGCTCTCCAGCTCCTCTGACAGCCAGCGCACACCGGGCCGGCTCTCCAGATCCTCTGCCAGCCAGCGCACACCGGGCCGGCTCTCTAGCTTCGCTGCGCGCTCGCGTTGGTCCATGGGCGATGTTACGGGAGTGATCGCAGGCTTCATGTAGCCCCGTTTTCCGTGAGAATAAAACGGTAGTCGTGTGGTGTTGCATGAAAATGCCGGACCCGGAACTTGCGTTGATTCCTAGTTAAGGTACGGAACAATAGGACATGTCACATCAAATCAGCGTTTTGGTGATCGGTGACGACGCATCGATGTCTTTTGTTTCTTCTTATGGAAGGCACAAAGCAAAAAAAAGTTGCAAAACTTAGCAGAAACAAAGCCATAAAACCGGATTTCCCGTTTTTGTCACTTGAATGCATTACAAAAATGCAGTCGGAGTACGCCAGCTGGGACACCAGCGGTGGAGCACCAGTTAGGCTCAGAGAGGAAGTAATGTCATGTAACATATGTGTTAACGCACAGCTACAATACACAGCTTAATGGGTAGATACATCTCTGGCATGGACATCCGTTTAATCAGAATTCGTGACAATGGTTTGGGCTGGATGTGATAACAGCCGATCCTTTTAGGATATAATGGTGGCTGAGATGTCAAGCGTCTCGGCCAGGGACATGGCGCTGATTGCGGCGAAATCGTAACTCTGCAAAATGACTGCTCGCGCTATTGCTTCCCAGATAACCACAGGCAATATTACTTCCCTCAAAAGGTACAATACGGGCAGCTGCTTATCTGGGCCTTAACAAATAGCGCAGCTATCTTTATTCGCTTCTAAAAAAGTACGCGTACGGTGAAAAGGACACAGCTTGCGGTGATGTTTGTCGTCGCAGCGCTGAATTTATCACGAGCGTATTCGCGACTGACTCACAGGCCTGTCAGCTAAAAATTTAACAAAATATTGAGTGTTGCAACCGACAGAACCGAGAACGTCGATCTGACGTAGTCAAATTCATGCAATCACAGCCGCGCTAGAGCGCAGAGGGCCAAGCTAATCTAATGAAAAAGCGCAACCTGGCGCAGCCGGGCCGCACAGTCGCGCCGCGCGACCGATCAACCCCCAGGCCGGGCCCTGTCGCAGGCGGGCCTTAGAGTCGCACCGCGCGACCGGTCAACCCCGGGTCGGGCCCCGATGCAGGCGGGCCCCAGAGCCGCGCCGCGTGACCGGTCAACCCCCGGGCTGGGACCTGTCGCAGGCGGGCTTTAGAGCCGCGCGGCGCGACCGGTCAACCCCCGGGCTGGGCCCTGTCGCAGGCGAGCCCCTGAGCCGTGCCGCGTGACCGGTCAACCCCCGAGCTGGGACCTGTCGCAGGCGGGCCTTAGAGCCGTGCCGCGTGACCGGTCAACCCCCGGGCTGGGCCCTGTCGCAGGCGAGCCCCTGAGCCGTGCCGCGTGACCGGTCAACCCCCGGGCTGGGCCCTGTCGCAGGCGAGCCCCTGAGCCGTGCCGCGTGACCGGTCAACCCCCGGGCTGGGCCCTGTCGCAGGCGAGCCCCTGAGCCGTGCCGCGTGACCGGTCCCCCCGGGCTGGGCCCTGTCGCAGGCGAGCCCCTGAGCCGTGCCGCGTGACCGGTCAACCCCCGGGCTGGGCCCTGTCGCAGGCGAGCCCTGAGCCGTGCCGCGTGACCGGTCAACCCCGGGCTGGGACCTGTCGCAGGCGAGCCCCTGAGCCGTGCCGCGTGACCGGTCAACCCCGGGCTGGGCCCTGTCGCAGGCGAGCCCCTGAGCCGTGCCGCGTGACCGGTCAACCCCCGGGCTGGGCCCTGTCGCAGGCGAGCCCCTGAGCCGTGCCGCGTGACCGGTCAACCCCCGGGCTGGGCCCTGTCGCAGGCGAGCCCCTGAGCCGTGCCGCGTGACCGGTCAACCCCCGGGCTGGGACCTGTCGCAGGCGGACCTTAGAGCCGCGCGGCGCGACCGGTCAACCCCCGGGCTGGGCCCTGTCGCAGGCGAGCCCCTGAGCCGTGCCGCGTGACCGGTCAACCCCCGGGCCGGATCCTGACGCAAGCGGGCTATTGGCGCAGATCACGCCGGGAGGCCCGTCGACATGACCGGCCCATTCACGGCGGCATATTGGCATCGATCAGCCGCACGCGGTCTCGCGCCGCCGTGCCGCCGCCGCTCGCGGCTCGTCGTAGGGTCGGGTGGCGCGCCGATGCCGGCTGCAGGGTCGGCCCGTCTGACTCAGACGCGCCGTCGATATATGGCCGACCTCCGACTGTCGCGTTCGAGATGTCGCCGGAAACAGCGCCGCTGCTCAGAAGTCGAGGAAAACAAACACAGGCCGCGCAGTCCGAGACAAATGGCATTGGGTCGTGTCTCATTTTAGCGAGCAACGTCGGGAAGGTCTGCCTGCTCACCGCCCCGCTCGATTGTGGTCGATAACGGAGCCTGCAGGCGACAGAAGGGTGCCGGGGCCCGGCCCGGGCCTGGCGTCTGTGACGGTACAGATCTATTGCGTTGTCACGCCACGTTCCGAGACACGCGACCGTAAAACACTACCGAGGCATCATAATCGATACCGGACGATGGCGTCACAACCTCGCCTGTCGACTTCAGGATAGTTCTACACGGGCCGCGGGCCGCATTGGTCCCGAAGGAACTCTGGCTGGAACGACATGATCAAGCGCTCGCCCAAATATGACGGGACAAACGGGCCGCTGCTTAGTGCGCTATTATTCTGGGAGAAATTAGCTCGCTAACTTTTGGCAGGGTCGTCAGACTAAACTAACCACATTTGTTCAAACTTTGGCAATGCGGCGCAAATCCGATTCCTGCTCGAGAGCTGTTCCATGGACACGGGTATATCAGAGCGAGCTTATTTGAAATGTCAATAGTATGCACATGACATGTCACTTCATTCTGCCAACTTAAAAATCACAAATACACCTATCAGGCGTCAATTTGATACACCACGTGCCGAGTGTAAAACCCTGTGACAGGCCTTGTGCATGCTGCACGTCAGGTCTATGACATGATGTGTAGGCTGTACTCACGCCTCACGCGCGAGTGGCGTCCCTGGGTCCGGCAGCAGCCCACAGACTCAACAGCCTAGCCCAGATGAGCCCAGACCCTCACTCACCCACGAAGTCGTTGAACCCTGCATCGATGGAGAGGCTGCCCATTTGCAGCACCTTCTGCTCAGATCCGTCCGGCATGTCCATCTTCGCCACCGGAAGATTCTCTTGGAACAGGACGTTTACGTCCTGGGTGTTGAGCTCGCCCACCAGGTTGTTGAAGATCAGGTAGTAGTCGGCTATGACGCTTCCCTCACTGGAAAGTGCCAAAGCCGTGTCAGTCGCCGCGCTGCTGTTCACACCGCGCGCACACCGGGCTATTGGCTGCAAGGATGCCACTCACCCATAACGCATTTCCCTGCCCAATGTGCGGCGTTTCTAGTCCGAATCATGCGTGAGGTGCCAACGATCACCGTGCACCGGTACCTCCAGACGTCCGTGGTGCGGTCACGGCGGTTCCCTACGCATTGCACTGTCGGCTGGGCTATTGGTCGAGCCGAATCCACACACCGGGAATATGAAAAAGTCGCCTGACACCAGTCGTCCTTACGGGCTGGCAGCGCCATCTGTTGCCGATCGGCGACCAGACCGCCGGTTTAGAACGTGCCAACGAAATGAAATCCCCGGCCGTGCGAAGGACACCGTCCCGTCAGCGAACTGATTATCTCAGCCACCCCGCGCCCGTGACATGCGTAACAGGAGATCCTTAACTGTGACGTCTTAACGACATCCGCCAGTCAGCTCGAGGCGTGACGGAGACAAATAAAAACGGTAGCGGTGCGACGCAGCTAGGGCACAAGACAACTCGGCGCCGGGGAACCACGCACGCCCCGGCCGCTGATAAAACAATGTTCCGAAGCGGAGACGCCTGTGTCGTCAGCGCTTCGAAAGAAGCAGAAATAACGAGCGTCTCGAGTGGCCGGTGCGTCCTCTCAGCCTCGTCGAGGAGGAGGGGGACGGGGAGGGGGGGGGGGGGCACGGTGCGATCATCGCGCCGGCATTGCAATTAGGCGCCGCACTCGCCATCTCTGCCCACGGAGGGCGGACGGCGACACTGGGGACGGGAGGAGATTGCGTCGACCGCCGCGTCAATCGGCGACGATGAGCGGCGACCCACCGACCCGGACACACCCGACCGAGCGACGCGCCGGTGGCGATGACGAACTGCGACAGCGTGAGGCGCCGAGAGCACGTGAATGACACGCCGAGACAGAGCGACAGGTTTGAGTCGATGACACTCTCCGACAGAGTATTGCACCAGAGGCGATGATTCGCTACGACAGAGTGACACTACGGGGACGATAACCCACTACCACAGTGTGACACGCCGGAGACGATGACACACTGCGACAGAGTGACACTCCGAAGACGATAACTCACTATTGCGGAGTGACACTCCAGAGACGATGAACCACTACGACATAGTGACACCCCAGAGAAGATAACCCACTATTGCAGAGTGACACCCCAGAGACGATGACACACTGCGACCGTGTGACACTCCGGAGACGACCCACTACGACAGGGTGACACTCCGGAGACAATTTCACACTGCTACGGAGTAAGGCACTTCGGAGACGATGTCGCATTGCGACAGCGTTTCACTCCGGAACGAGAACATAATGCGACGGATGAACACCCGAAGGGATGACCCCTGCGACAATGACACTCCGGAGACAATGACCAATTACGACAGATGACACTCCCTATACAATTACCCATTAACGACGAATGACACTCCGGAGACGATGGCCCACTAGACAAGATGGCATTTCCGGAGACAAGGCTACACTGCACAGACTGACACTCTGCATACTGCTGCACTACGACAAGGTAATAGCCAGGGCGATAACCCAGTAGGGCAGAACGATACGCAAGAGGCAATGCCGCAACCCGACCGAGTGATGCGCTAGTTGTAATGAATCACTTCGTTGGATGAATCCGCCAGAGGTAATGACGCGCTCCAACAGAGTGCGAGGAATAATGCAGGGAAGATGCGTCAGAGGTGGTCACATTCTGGACGGGGCTGACAGTGGGTGTCTCACCATGGGACGGCCCTGCAGGGATTTAACACGCGCTCGGTGGGGGGGGGGGTCAAATTGGCCCCCCGAATGTTTTTCCAAAATGATTTCCGAACGGTGCCATACAGCCGCTCCAAACTTCCCGTAGCTATAGAAAATTGAAAAGCGGATCTTTTGATACAAAAAAATCAAATCTACCTTGTAAGGTCGCCGAGCTATGACAGGGCAGTCGGGCCATGGCTGTCAGCAAAAGGCATTTCTAGAGAATCGCTCAATGCGATGCAACAGCGGAGTGTTAAATGGAGCCATAATGTTTGATGTTGATTCTTGGGAAATGCATCAATAAACCCTAGAAATTCAACCAATTTCATTGACCTAGGATCAGCTGTGAATGTCAGAGCGAGGTGAAAAGTAACCTGCTTCTTACTCGAGAGCTCGGTTTTGGAGTACTTTTTGGTGCTCATTTCTTATTTGTTAATGACAGGGACCGCAGTGGGAATGTTCCATGGACTTTTTAAACGTTAGAGTGGATCTCTGGCTCAAAATGATCCAGGCCAACGTTTTGTTCTTAGGAGCACACCACCTAACATAATTTCAGACTCTTAATCGAATGACAAAATAGGAGCAATGTCGTAGTATTTGGTCACAATGACTTTATATGCTCCAAAAAGGTCACTGATCTTTATTGAACACCATCAGCCTTTTGTTTAGAACATATATCTAGTTTTACGGTGGTTGCGTGTGGATTTCTGGGGGCACTGGAGACGCCAATCTGAAGCTTAATCTTGCTTGACCTTACTTGACCCCAGAGTCATGATCCAGGAGCCTCAAATTTTGACGAGGGAATTCATATACAGGCTAACCAACTCTTTGAGTTTGGTGCCCCTGGCTATCTTCATTTTTGAGATCTCAGGGGGTCAAATTGCCCCAGCCCACAGGAGCAAAGGCATTCAACCGGCCATCCGGGCGCGCGTTAATCACAGCAGTCCTCCACACTCAGCGGGAGCATATCTTTCAGGATGTTGACCTCCAGCCACTCACAGAATACAATGCACACAATCACGGACGGTGTCCTGCGGAGCGGCCATGCCGCTCAGCACGTGACGCTGTGACACTGCGGGGTCACATGCGTGCACTCGTACCGACGCGTGAATGAACCACGACCCCAACATCTGGGGACTGGTTATCCCCACACTGCTTCAACATCGGCCAACGTGAAACACCCACGTGATCCCGAGGTGGGTGGAGCGAGGAGGTGGGATATGCAGGCGTCAGAAGAGGCTAGCGTCGACAGATTTGAAGAGCATGGCAGGATTTTGCAGACCTGCCACGACTGCATGCGAGATGGCGTCCGACAACTTCGTGACCCCACGACGGCAGAAATGCAGATAGACCAGCAGAGCAACAACAGGACAGCTGTCGGCTGTCGACCTTAAGCACTGTTGAGAAAATCTGCACGGTACTTAACCGTTTTTAACCATCTTTATCATGTGCTGGGGGTTTCATAACAAGGTTGTTGAACACTACAGTGCAGCTTGTGGTCGGATGGTCTGCACACAAGTGAGATGACGTCACCGAAGCGTCAGCGTATTCGTCCTATAGGGCACTGGCCGTGCGAGCCCAACATCTTTACCTGACGTACAGTCTGCCCAGGGTACCAATAAAGCCATATGCAGATTATTCGGGAGATTTTCTGCCGTCAACCTTGTTGACTTAGCTTTTAAATAAATAATAAATAATAAGGCTCTGCCGAGCAAGCGGTCAGTACCCCATGTCGTTTTCATGGGCAAGTCTAAGCCTTTATTCACCAAAAAGTACGGTGCCAACGAATGAAACCGGTTAATCCAGAACCAACAACCTAATGTGAGGCAAAAAATGACACTTAAGACAAAAAACTTGCCACGATGCCGTTGCTGCACGCTCTTTACTAGGCTGTGCCGTAATACTCATGTCAGGATTTAATCTGATCGTATCGTGCTCCTGAGATTGGGTAACGTCAGACTGAGACGTGGCCTCAGCATGAGAAAACCTCCTATGCAGCCGGATTCTGTCTAAATCGCCATGTCTCACCACAGCAGCTGGGACTGCCGACTCCAGACTGCAGAGGTCGGCGGAGCCGTGTGCAGCCGGCGCCGTCGCGCCGCTGGTGTTCTCAGTTCTCAGCTGGTGTTCTTATCCGACTCATGGCAACGCTCTTTTGTCGCCATCGGCCAGGAGCTATCAGGGCTATTCGGACCCAGTACCGGCCGACCCCTCTGTACTTCGAGTCTGCTGCCGGCCGACGTCAGCCAGAGCCGCTCGGGCCCAGCATACACGGCTGCCGGCCGGTGCCAGTCAGAGCCGCTCGGACCCAGCATACACAGCTGCCGGCCGGTGCTAGCCAGAGCCGCTCGGGCCCAGCATACACGGCTGCCGGCCGGTGCGAGCCAGAGCCGCTCGGGTCTAACATACACGGCTGCCGGCCGGTGCCAGCCAGAGCCGCTCGGGCCCAACATACACGGCTGCCGGCCGGTGCCAGCCAGTGCCGCTCGGGCCAACATTCACGGCCGCTCAGCCGCACACGTCTACGATGGGCCATGACCCGGCGCTGACCCGGCCGTGCGCAACAATGGCGCCCTGCAACGCCCGCCCGTCTATCGCTTGACAGGCGGCGTCGCCCAGCTCGTGCGCGACACTAATGGCAATCAGAGGCGGCTCCGCCGTAATCGGAGCTGTCGCCCTGAGAACCGCCCAAGGGCCCTCTAGCGGCCTGGCTCGACCACCCCTGCCGCTTCTCAAGGCCACCACTGTAGAACGGGCCGCTGGTGATTGGACTGGAAAGACAATGCAGGCCGACTGGTATTCTTGTTGGGTAACACAATTGGTGGGATTAAGCGGTGGCAGTTTCCCCGGGCTTCTGCATCGCGATTCCAGATTTGACGGACGAAAGTCCTTGAGGGCAGCCGGCTGGGGCGATGTCCACAAATCGGCTGGTGAATGGGAAAGGAGCACCTTCATCACCACTGAAAAAGACGGATATTCAGATGGAAATGCGTTATTGAGGCTAGCTGATCCTCTGCATCTAGCTGTGAAAGTTTCAGCTGCGTAAAAATAGTGTTGATCTGGCGATAAATCCGAATATGTTTGTCGCATTGCATCAGTAACTTTGATCGCCTCATATTCTTATGAAATAGTCGGAGTTGAGAAGATTGCGCAAAATAATTCGAAAAATTCTGCAAACACTGAAAAACGTTAGGTGCGCGTCGAACAAATGGCTGATTTTCCAGGTTTGGAAGTCTAGTTGTGAACCTTTCGTCTTTGTGATGTTGCCACTTCGGATCTGGTGATCAAGCATGACACTATCACTGCACAATGCACTGTGCTTCAACTCCGGATACAGTTCCGGAGCGAGCTTTTGTTGAATTAAATTGCCTTTTTCCCAAAACTCAAAAATTCAACTTCAAAGCATTACTTTAAGCTTTTTACGGGCATACTATCCAAAGTCCGGCATTAAAGTTGAAAATGAAAAGGAATGCTCCACGTTTGTACGGGGTTCCAGACTGAAATAGACATTTTGGAGATAATTCGGTGCGGTTCACATCTCTGTCCTTGTTAAGACCCAAAATGTTTCATGCAAAACCCCAACCCAAAACTAATGCCAATCTCCTGCCGCCATCGGCCAGGAGCTATCAGGTCTATTCGGACCCAGTACCGGCCGACCCCTCTGTCGCTCGAGACTGCTGCCGGCTGATGCCAGCCAGAGCCGCTCGGGCCCAGCGTACACGGCTGCCGGCTGATGCCAGCTAGAGCCGCTCGGGCGCAACATACACGGCTGCCGGCCGGTGCCAGCCAGAACCGCCCGAGCCCAGCATACACGGCTGCCAGCCGGTGCCAGTCAGAGCCCCTCGGGCCCAGCATACACGGCTGCCGGCCGGTGCCAGCCAGAGCCGCTCGGGCCCAACATACACAGCTGCCGGCCGACGCCAGCGAGAGCCGCTCGGGCCCAACATACAAAGCTGCCGGCCGGTGCCAGCCAGAGCCGCTCGGGCCCAGCATACACGGCTGCTGGCCGGTGCCAGCCAGAGCCGCTCGGGCCCAACATACACGGCTGCCGGCCGGTGCCAGCCAGAGCCGCTCGGGCCCAACATACACAGCTGCCGGCCGGTGCCAGCCAGAGTCGCTCGGGCCCAACATACACGGCTGCCGGCCGGTGCCAGCCAGAGCCGCTCAGGCCCAACTTACACAGCTGCCGGCCGGTGCCAGCCAGAGCCGCTCGGGCCCAGCATACACGGCTGCCGGCCGGTGTCAGCCAGAGCCGCTCGGGCCCAGCATACACGGCTGCCGGCCGGTGTCAGCCAGAGCCGCTCGGGCCCAGCATACACGGCCGCTCAGCCGCCGACAGCCGGTGGGTAGCGTGCAATACGAAACGATCGCCTTACCGGCCGATCGGCCAGTTACTGGGGAATGCCACGAATCTCGCTAATGCTGTAACTGTAACTCATGATGGCTACAGTTACAGTTGCACTTGTAACTCGCAAAAGTACTGTAACGACGCGGGCAGATGACAAGTGCCGCATCATTGTGAACGGCGGAGGATGAGTGGAGGTTTTAGTCCTAACCAAACGTCAAAGGGCCGGGAACGGAACAGGCCCCACTTCCCTTTTCATAAAAAATGGGATAAGTCGCACGGCACGGTCGGATTTATCAAGATTGAACCTAAGCGATATATGCGTATGTACCGTTATCTTATCATGCAGGTGATGTAAATGTCACAAGGTCAAGCGCTGAAACGGTGAAGAACAGAAATCCAAAGGTCGAAGCTATGCAACGCATTCGTGAAATACGCGTCATGCTACTCACACTTTTATTGTTTTGATTGTTCTTGTACACGGTCTATGCCGCCAAGGAATATCATACAACGCTGTCAATTAAAAATGTCCCGGGTCTTCGTTCGGACACCGCTTTTCCGATCTACCTGTAGGTTAGAATGTGTGGTGGGGAGCATTCGGCACTAGCTGGTTTTTGGAGTGGCCCAAATATTCATTACTGTCAGTTTTACTCAATAACGTCCCTCACGATAAGTGCCGACATCGCAGAAACATTATCACCCCCGACAGCGTGGGCAGTTACAAGCGGTGTTTCCCACCAGTGACGTCATCATAAGTTGCCACACATGACTGGGCCTGTCAGCCCTCCCCCGCCCCCCCCCCCCCCACCGGCTGGGAACGGCGCGGGGTGCGGTCCGACCGCCGCGCATGCTGGCGGCCCCCGCAGCGTGAGTCACTGCTCTCACCGGCACCTTGATCCCCATCCGAAGCCGGAGGCCAGCGGCGGGACATCCGACAGACCGTGACGTCATCACCGATATTCGGCGGCCGTGACGTCACCACCGACACGGTGCCGCGGCTAGATAAACGGACACGGAGGGCGCTCAAAAAACTGCTCTCGAATCTACGTCAGTTGAGCACCATCAGGGGTGTTACTGTTCCTTGACTGGCATTTAGCACATGCTCATCAGTCGGGAATCGGGACTCACAAACCCGAAAGGCCAGGATCGGAGCAGGTTTCAACTCAGTTTTCGTCAACAGTGGGTTGAGCCCCCACAGCACAGTCGGATTCATCTATTTCATCAAAGGCCTGAATTGAAAATTAGTTGAAAAGCCATCAAAGGTTTATATTTTGAACTCAAAGCCCTGAAGTCTGCAATTCAAGTTAAACCCCATTTTAGACTAACAACACTACCGTACAAGTAATTACTTGGAGCACTCAATTTGAAATATTAAAAAATAAAGGCAGGCTTTTAAAGACTGGAACCAAGTGCACAGTGCAGGCCACAGTATGTGCTAACCCCACAGATCACCAAGCGTTTTGATCACTAACGGACTCAGTCGATCCGAGAGTGATTGGGCTACAAGAATTACTCGGTCTACAATCCTGTTCACTGCGACCAACATCTAAACTGATTAGTTGCGTCGACTGAAATTGCCTGGCATGCTCAGACCCGAGGCCAGCCAATCTCCAAGCAATGTGATTTGTGAACTGGCGCGCGATTGCTGCACCACCCAACTTCTGCATGGTAGACTCTCACGGAAGGCTGATTTTATCGTGCGTTGATCAAAGCCATTTGTACTAGCTTCACCACGTACGGGGCAGCATGAACTTAGATATTGGTATCATCCACATGATAAGACAGATACCTTCCTTCATCTACCATTTCGTCCGCTCCACGCCGCATCATACATCGTGATGGCTCAGGGCAGCATCGCATCAGATGTACATATTTGTTCAACATCTGTACCGCTTAGGTTATGCCTCAGGCAATGGCCAGCTCATCTCGTGTCCCGCAATGACTAACAGCACGTCCCGCCAGTCGTCCCATCTTTCAAAAACACTTCAATATTAAATCACATGGTGGTGGATGGACACCGGTCTACTCTTAAAATGCCGGCAGAGAAACTGCTATGCCGACTTCCCTCTGCATAAGCGTGCCACAGTCAGGGGGGGGGGGGCGCCTCACTCGTCTTCGTCCGCGGGTCACGGGACGGGGAAGGGCCAGAGGGCATGACGCCGCTGAAGCTCACCTGAATGAGTCGATGACGACCCGGTCAAACCAGACGGAAAGCGGCGAAGCCTGGAACGCCTCGGTGAGCTGTGGACGACAGGCCACTGTCAGCGTCGAGGCGGTGGGACAACGTGTGCAGCCACCAACGAGGGGGTCACTGTCAGCGTCGGGGTGGTGGGACAACGCATGCGGCCGCCAAAGGGGGGGGGGGGCACTGTCAGCGCCGGGGCGGTGGGTCAACGTGTGCAACCGCCGGCGAAACTAAGTACACGTGTGTCGCTGCTGAAGGCGCCACGGATCACTTATCAATGGGCGGGACCGGTTTTGATCATGGTATGGTAAGGTGCGGCATGATCTGATATGGAATAGTGTGGTATGGCTGATTGATACCGTATAGCATGTTATGGTACGGTATGGTGTGACGTGGTCAGCGGCGTTAAAACGCCTCAAGAGCCGGTCATCGGTATGGGATATTTGCGCACATAATGGTCATGGTGTTCGAGCTCAGGTGTGCAAAATCCCAGTTCAGCTGTCCGAGATCATCGTCGACCGTGAATCTGCTGTCCATTGGTCGGACTGGAAGCGCTGCCGCCTGCACCACGGCAGCGGCCATCAGGACCGACCACATCGAACGGGGAGACAATCGTGCGCCACCGGTCATTGGCGCTGGTCAACACAATAAGCCGGGACGGCCGTTTGGGCCGCGGCCGCGCCGACTGGTCAGCTGTGGGCCGCGGCCGCGTCGACTAGTCAGCTGTGGGCCGCGGCCGCGTCGCCTGGTCAGCTGTGGGCCGCGGCCGCGCCGACGGGTCAGCTGTGGGCCGCGGCCGCGCCGACTAGCCAGCTGCGGGCCACGGCCGCGCCGACTAGTCAGCTGTGGGCCGCGATCGCGCCGACTGGTCAGCTGCGGGCCGCGGCCGCGCCGACAGGTCAGCTGTAGTGAGCGTCAGCTGGCGGCCGGAGCAACGGCTGGCGCCCCGGTTCGGTGCCCCAGCCGCGTTCGGTCAAGGTCCGACTGCGTTTCACCACCGCGGCGAATGGACCGTGGGCGCCGCCAGTGACGGCGCGCGGCTGGCGCACGGACAGCAGCCCCGGGGGATGCCGAGGGGAGACTGGCCCAAGACAGAGCCAGGGTATGGCAGGGGAGAGGGAGGAAGAGCCCCAAGAGATGACGGCGAAAATCACGAGTTTGAGCCGGCTCGGCGACGCTGCTCCAGACCGCCAGCGGTCGGTGCCGGCGCCGTACGGAATAATGAGCCCGAGGCTGCGGCCCTCGAGCACTGAGAGGCGTAGCGACTACGGCCGGGGTGATCTCTTGAGTTGTTTGTGACAGAAGAGCAGTCAGCTCCAGACAGCCGGAAAGCCGAAAGTTTCAACGTAGGCATGACATCTGGCAAGCTACAGAGTTGACAGCACACCTCATTCAATCCGATGCTGAATGAAACATCTAGTTGCCCGTGGACTACGAGGGGAGAGGATTTGTTTATACTTACTTCAGGAACCCATGAAGTTATTTCTCCGCTTAAAATTGCAATTGATGCCTCTGGATTTTGGTACCGATAAATCATGTTTCTCATAACCCCATGCCACTGATGACGTTGCATGCCACGTCAGACTGAAACATTTGACAGGCTGTTTGATCAGTTATTAGTTGTACGTTAAAGGGTATCTTGTGTGTCCTAAATTATGCCTGTACAAGTAAGCGATCAGATACTCTCAGATAGCATATAGCATAGCGTGCACACGTCTATAACGACAACCCTGTATTGAGTGCAAGTGCGAATATTTTCCCCAGGTACTCCACATGGGATTTCCATAGTCCTAAGATTGTATAAGAATATCCTTTCGACAGCATAACCAGCTGAAAGTGGACGTTCGCAACCGTAAACTTCCATGACTAAAGCTAACACTGCCAGCCAGATAATTAAGCAGCATCCTCCTTTCTGATCCTGGTGATCGACAGGCGGAGATGAGTGGAGTTCGACCCAGGTAGCTCTCGGGCCCGCAACAGGCCGGCACACTCGGTGCGCTCGATGTGCCGATTGGGACCCCGATGGCGCAGCGTCGGCGCCAGCAAAACGTCCATTTGGAACACAAAAGGGCGGCTGAGCGCCAGACCGCCCTGGCTGTTGGCTGATGGTAACCCACCACCGCTTGCAGGGCTGACAGCGGATGGATGACGTCCGACCCCCTCCCCTAACCCCGAGAACCCCTCTGCCGGGGCGTGGGATTGTTGAACAGGCTTGGCGTCGACCATCGCGCCCCGGAATTTTAAGCGGAGTGAAACGGGTAATGCTGCCGACCAAGCCAATCGAGCTGGGGCTTGCGGCTCGCGCTACGCGCGACTAACGCTACCCATGTGCGCGTGTGATCGCGCGCCAGTACCTCGATTGCACTTGTTCGTGGCGTACCTAAATGAAAAGCCGACATGTGAATCTTGCAGCAAACGCACGTGATCAACGGGCGCCATCACTGGAGGTGCTGTTCGCGAGCGGGTTCCGGGCCCGAAGTCACCGAACACCATCCTTTCGGGCGTCTGGTGAGACAATCACGTCATGAGTTGGGTTTCATTAGAGTGGAAATGACAGGATCTCGAACGGCGCCGAGACAGTCAGCCGACGGACACGGCATGATCACGCCCAGCGCGTTCGTCGGCCGGAACCGGAAATGACGCCGCGAGAGGGTGTCCGCCCACGGCATCGCCTATCGACCGGAGGACCGACCCCGCACAAGACGTCGCTATCAGTGGTCCCGCCCCATCGACCGGCCGCGAACCGGCCGATCAAACGCAGCCAGACAACGCGCCGCGCCCGGCTCCCGGTGCGGCGTCGCGCCAGCCGCCGGGCCGCCGACCCTGGCCGCCCGGTGCCGCGGCGAGTCCCACGGCGGGTCCCACGGCCGGTGCCACGGCGGCCAGCGCGGCGCCGGCGGCGGCAGCCAGATTGATGGCGGCCGGGCCGATACAGCGGTGACTGCTGCGGCTGCAATCGGTCCGACAGCTGACCGGAGCCCACTGGCCGGCGCCCCATCACGACCGGCACCAGGCTGGATCGCAGCTGCCGCTGACGTGGCCGGCCGCCCCAACGCCAGTGCTTTGGCGACAAGTCACGGCGCCATCCAGTGAACTGTGCTGCAGTTCCAGCCTGTGCCTGCTGCTGCGCCCAGGGGCCGTGCAACAACGCCTACACCAGGTAGCGCCTTAACCCAACGCCTCACAACGATGACGGAACGCTATACAAAATATGACAGCAAATAGCGATGCTACAACGGACTTTTCGAAGAGCGAAAAGGAAATTTTTTATAGATACTGTCTGAGTCATGTTGTTAGTACAAAGCGTGAGTACATAGTGAGAACAATGTCGTGAGAGCGGCGATTTGACGCTGTTTAATAGTTTTATGTGCATGGTACCGAATCAGGCATAACGCTTGCAGCCCCATATGGTGACCGATGAATCAGGTGTTGTCTAAATAAACAGCGCTCCGTGACAACAAACGTCAAACAATGATTCTTGTCCACCAGCGAACGAGCTGAACCATTCCTGGCGTCCCGCAGCGGCCACCATCTGACAAGCGACGGAAGCAGAGCAGCGGTGCAGCACGCTCTGCTGGCAGCATGTTGTTTTCTAAAGAGTGATCGACTGAACAGCGCACCGCACGTTTTGTGGCATCGAACGCGGTCCGGTGACAGGCACATAACTCCGTCGGTGGGCGGTCCGGGCTCGGCGCGGTGCCGCCCTAGCTCTGCACCGACCGCTGGCCACTGACCTCGAGGGTGAGCAGCTCGGCGGCGTCATCCCAGGCCTCGGTGCCCCGGATGGCCAGCTCCGGCCGCCACCGCAGGCCCTCCAGGATCCGCACCGAGCTGGCCATCCGGCAGTTGGAGGCGCACACGCCAGGCGTGGTCGGCACGCGTGTGGTGGTGGTCGTGGTGGTGGTCGTAGTGGTGGTGGCGACCGTGGTCTGGGCCGGCGTCGACGAGGCTGACGACTCCGGTGTGGTGGCCGCCGTTGAAGGGACGGTGGGATTTGTCCCGACGGTGAACTTGGGCCTGTGGTAGAACAGCGAGCGGTTACGTCGGCGCCGTCCGGGTTAAGAAAATAAACACAACTGCATCTTCCAAGTTCACCCACACACAGTAGCCAATCAGCGTCGGACTGACGTTGTGCCCTGTCTTGTCTTGGGCTGAGAAAATGCCAAATTTGGTAGGTTTCACGCATTTTTTAATGTTGCCACGCTGTCGTATGAAATACGTTATCTTGGCACGAGTTCGGTTTGGGCGGACATATTCATCCTTCACACACAATATTTTGTTATTTGCTTCAAATGAGGTCGAAAGTGTTGCGACCACCATCACTGCACTAAATGCTGGTCATTTAACTCCCACTTCACAGTAGTTTGAAGATTTTCTCCTCAAATGTTGCCGAGCTCTTTCAGCAATCCAAGGATCTGTCACTGCGTCATGAAAACTAAACTATCATTCATGGGGGATTTGAGCCACCAGCGCCCCTGGCTACTTGAGATGCATCTGCTATCTCGTCAGTTTTCGGCTTCAGGGTCATCACACTATTCCACAGAGAAATTTAGGATTCCTCAGCTGTAAATTAGCACATTTAATAAACGTTGTGCTACTTCTAGTGATCGCGATGCGCCTCACGGGGATGACCAGATTCTCTCCGACATAGACAACTACAGCGCGTTTTCCGCACCGACGTCTCGGATACTCACCTATTACCAAGTAGCGAGAACAGGCCCTTCTCGGACTGCTCATATTTGAACTCCAGCGGCGGTATAGCCGTGGAGCTGACCTTGCCCGGGATGAACAGGTCCAGCGGTTTCCTTTCAACGGTGCGCGAGACGCCCGCTCTCGAGGGGAACACGATGCCAGCCGACTTGCGTTTGGGCGCCGCTGTGGTACTGGTGGTCGTCTCCTCAGCATCCGAGGGGTCGGGCGGCTTATAGCCTGGCGGCAGGAAGGCTGACACGTCCTCTTCGGTGGCGACTATCGGCGCACGTGAGCGACTGCGCTCCGTGGTCGAAGTTTCGGGAGGCTTGTACCCGGGTGGCAGGAAGGCTGACACATCCTCTTCGATGGCGACTATCGGCGCACGTGAGCGACTGCGCTCCGTGGTCGAAGTTTCGGGAGGCTTGTATCCGGGTGGCAGGAAGGCTGACACGTCCTCTTCGATGGCGACTATCGGCGCACGTGAGCGACTGCGCTCCGTGGTCGAAGTTTCGGGAGGCTTGTACCCGGGTGGCAGGAAGGCTGACACGTCCTCTTCGATGGCGACTATCGGCGCACGTGAGCGACTGCGCTCCGTGGTCGAAGTTTCGGGAGGCTTGTACCCGGGTGGCAGGAAGGCTGACACGTCCTCTTCGATGGCGACTATCGGCGCACGTGAGCGACTGCGCTCCGTGGTCGAAGTTTCGGGAGGCTTGTATCCGGGTGGCAGGAAGGCTGACACGTCCTCTTCGATGGCGACTATCGGCTCACGGGATCGAGTACGCTCTGTTGTCGTCGTCTCTGGGGGTTTGTAACCGGGTGGGAGGAAGGCTGACACATCCTCTTCAATGGCGACTATCGGAGCGCGAGAACGCTCCGTGGTCGTTTCCGGCGCCTTGTAGCCCGGCGGGAGGAATGCCGAGACATCCTCTTCGATGGCAGCAGGCTTTTTCTTGGATGAAGTGGTACTCACAGACTCCAGCTGGAACCCGGGCGGCAAGAAGGCCGAGAGGTCCTCCACCTCCTCCACCTGAACTTTGGGCCTGGCCGTGGAGGTGATGGGCGGCGGCGTGAGCTTCGGCTCGGCGCCCGAGTTCTCAAGGTCCTGTCGCACCTTGTTCTTGAACCCCTCCGGAAGCAGGTCGGGATTGATGTCCTCCTCAATGATGACCAGCCCATCCTCGTTTCGTATGGTCGTTGTCTCCACGCTGTCTTTCACCGGCCGGAAGCCGGGCGGAAGGAAGCGAGACACGTCCTCGTCAACGACGGTCGTCTGCTGAGCTTCGCTGTCGGCACGCAGCGCCTTGCCCTCGCGGCTGCCCGGCTCCGGCCTCGCCGTGGTGGAGGTGCGGCCGCGCAGCCGCTCGATCAGGGAGGACAGACCCGGCCGCGACGGTCGCTCCGCCGTGCCCTTGGAGATGAAGGAGGCCAGGCCGCCCCGCTGCGTCGGCGCCTTGCGACCCGTGTTGGGCGGCTCTGGTCCCACCGGCTCTGTTGGCGCGGCCGTCTCGGGCGCGGCGGTGGTGGAGGTGGGCGGGCTCGTTTCGGAGCGGAGTGTTGTCTCCTCGACTGATGGTGGCGTCTCCTCCCCTTGAGCGTCCTTCAGCTGCTTCACCAGCAGCGAGGCCAGGCCGCCGCGGCTGCTGGAGGGGCGCGGGCGACGCGTCGGCGCAGCCAGGCGTCGCTCCGTGGTCGTCTCGGTGGCGCGACCGGACGGTAGCCCGCTCACCTGGCGGGCCGTCACAGTCGTCACCACCGTCGACGGCTCCGTGGGGGCGTCCTCCTGCTTCGCCTGCAGCTGCTGCCGCAAACGCTCCCGTAGCGACAGGCGGCGCGGCGGCGGCGCGGCCTCCTCCGCCTCCTCCGCGGCAGCCTCGGGCTCGTCCTGCGCCGGCCTCAAGCGCGAGCTGCCCGAGTCCCTGTTGCGGCTCCTGAGCCGGTCGCGAATGGAGGACGAAAGGCCGCGCCGCGGCAGGGACGGCCGGGTGGGCCGCGGCGACAGCGGTGTCGTTTCGCGCGTGATTCGGTTGGTGGGCGGCGCCGTGATAGCCGTAGTGAACTCTTCGTCGGCCAGGGTCGGCTCGGTGACCGGCGCCAGCGTCGTCTCCTCACTGACGTCTCCTGGACTGACGTCCAGATCCTGCAGCTGTTTGTCGTCGGAGACAGCGAACAGTCGCTCCGTGGTACTCTCCGGAGTGGTCTCCGTTGTGGCAAATGCTATCGGTTCTGTCGTCCTGTTGACAAACTCTTCATTGGTGGTAGCGAACTCGTCAAAGGAACTTGGGGTCGTGCTTTCGAAGCCTCCTTCGAACACCAGGGCCTCCGTGGTGGTTTCCGCCTCGTCAGCGAATCCCCTTAGCACCTGGTCCCGTTGTTTGGTGAACTCAATCAGAGAGTCATCGGTGGTGAAGTCTGGAACATCATCGCCTGAGAAGCCTGTGGTGCCTAAACTCCTCTCTGTTGTGTCTGCGAATTGATTCGAAGGCCCTGTTTCTGTTCCTTGTAGCCCTTGATCTTCGAAGCCAGCAAATGAGTCGTTGCCCTCTTCCACGTAGTCGGAAAACTGGTCGCCAGCCAGTGGGTCGGGCGAGTAGTCTACAAACTCCACCAGGCTGCCATCACTCGTGAAATTTAGACTATTGAACGGCTCCTCTGTCGTGAACTCCGTCGGCACCTCGACGGGACGCTGCGTAACGCGTTCCGGCTCCTCACGGAAGAGCGGGAACGTGGTTCCGCCGAAGGTGGTCGGCGCGAGGGTGGTTTGCGGCACGAACTCGGTGGTGGTCTCGGGCGCCGCCTGCTGGTCGAACCGGCCGCGCACCTCCTGCCGGGACGGCTCGAACACCGTCACTTCGTTCGAGCGCAGCGTGGGCTCCAGCTCAACGGCTGGCGTCGGCGTGGTGGAAGTGGTCACCAACTGGAACAGGGTGACCCGACCGGCCGGGTTGCGGACGCGCGGCCGCAGCCGCAGCGGGCGCTGGGTAGTGGCAGCCGGCGGCGGCTCCGTCGGCGCCTCGGTGGTCGGAGGAGTCGCCGTCGCCGGACGACCGAAGAACGTTTGGGGCGGCGGCGGCGGGAAGGGCGACCGGACGGCGGCGCCGGCCGGCGGCGGCGCCGTGACCGGTCGGAATTGGCCAAACTGTGTCTGAGCCGGTGGCCGGAACTGGCCCGGCGGTGGCTGCCGGAACACGGTGAAGGGCTGGGGCCGAAACTGTGGCGCGCCGAACTGAGCTGGCGCGCCGAACTGGAACGGTGGCCGCGGCTGGAATGCCAGGTTGTTGCCGTTCAGCAGTCGACCTGGGCGCTGCTGTTGCTGCTGAGGCTGCTGCTGGGACTGCTGCTGCTGCTGCTGTTGTTGTTGTTCTTGTTGCCGTTGTCTTTGTCGCTGCTGGGCCGGCGAACCGAAGGCAGTGAACGGCACTGTGTTGGTTGCTGAAAGAAAAGGGCGGTATAATTAATGCAAGGGCGTAGGATTCCCTTCAATGGATAATTGCTCATGACCAGTCTGGTGTGGCTCTAGGATGCAATTTGCAGCATTAAGTGCGGCTATTGCTCTTACTTATCAGTGCAGCATATACATATGAATTTACTTCGGTGTTTCTTCGTCAGGTACTCAAAGTAGCGACTGCGACCAAGATGTTACATCTACAAAGCTTGTATATTTGCAGCATTCCAGACGGTGCATCAAGAACAATGTTTTGCAACTGAGCCTGAAGTGGCGTACTACACCGCTGTTGCCCTGCAGTGGCGCCATTCCACTATCTGGAGTGGGATGAAAACCTTGGAAACACCGCCTTCAGTCACCGCGCGCGAGCATCAGCAGGTCAGACGGTTCAGGCCTGACATCAGCCGGACAGACAGTTCAGCTCTGACATCAGCCGGAGAGACAGCTCTGCTCTGACATCAGCCGGAGAGACAGCTCAGCCCTGGCATCGGCCGGACAGGCGGTTCAGCTCTGACATCAGCCGGACAGACAGCTCAGCTCTGACATCTGCGTACGTGAGACACGCGTACCAGAATAGCCCATGAGTGATGAGGAGTACGACCGGGCTCATCATACGCCGTTGATGTAATCAGAGACTTCGCACCCCGCACGTGCGGGTCTCAGAACACGTTAACGGGACTCGCCCTGAAGCGCTTCAGATCGCACCTCCATTTCAAACAAGTGAAGGTGAGAAGGTCTTCGCGGAAACGTAAATCCTGTTTTTATGAATGTTTCATCGCCCGACTCTGACGGTCAGCGCCAGCCTGCATCACGGTACCTTGTTACGGGAAAGCACGAAGCCTCAGCGGCCGTTGGAGCCTTTCCAGCCCAGCTTCGGCCGCCGCCGCCTCGGCATCGCTAGCCCTGAATGGCTTCTAATGATGTTGACGTGACTTGTATGGAGGCTGCGCTTGCTGAAAGCACCTGGATTCGTTCATCGCAGATGAACTTTCTTTATATCTCATCTCTGACGCGAAATATCGCTTCGTAACGAGAGGTGATTACCCGGTTGGGTTTCGGTATTCGAACACTCCGGCTGGTAAATCGCAATGCACCGTTCAAATTTTTCGGAAATGTGTGTCGGAATAATTCAGCGAAATATTTAAGTAGCAGATTGAATAGTTCACTGGAATGCTCTGATGTTTTCCATAAGCCGTAAGTTTCATGCGTAGGAGAATTACTGCTTTTGTAATAAATTTCCGCACGAGCTGATACGTTGTCGATTGGAGACGAATCAGGTCAAGGAGGAAGGAGATTATCGATTATCCACGCACGACGTCCATTTTGGTGTCGCACAGGTAAGTTCGGCAACTGAAAGGGATGGATTCCAACAAATTTGTTTCTTCCGTGCAAGTGTAAAAAGCTGTCACAATCACGCCGACCTTGTTTTTGTTTTTGTCAGCTACTCGATCTCCGCGATGCAGTAAGCCCCTGTCAAATGCATGCAATGTGCGCCGTATATGGAAGCGTCCTAGATCTGTAGCTGTTGTGTGCAGCTCTCTCTCTCTCTCTCTCTCTCTCTCTCTCTCTCTCTCTCTCTCTCTCTCTCTCTCTCTCTCTCTCTCTCTCTCTCTCTCTCTCTCTCTCTCTCTCTCTCTCTCTCTCTCTCTCTCTCACTCTCTCTCTCTCTCTCTCTCTCTCTCTCTCTTCTCTCTCCCTTTCTCTCTCTCTCTCTCTGTCTTTCTCCCTCTCTCTCTCCTCTCTCTCCCTCTCTCTCTTTCGCTCCCTCTCTCCTCTCTCTCCTCTCTCTTTCTTTCTCTCCCTCCCCTCTCTCTCTCTCTCTCTCTCCCTGGGACTTGAGCCGAGGCCATTGAACCAACGTTAAGGGGTGTTCTCTGGCTTGCCCATTCGGCCGCAGGGAAGCGTCAAAGTTAGCACCTAAAATAGCCGTATGCTCGATTAAATAAGCATACAAGTTTGCCTCGAACCTTTCACTACTGCTCCTTTTAAGTGACTATTCGCTAAAAGCTGAACGTTTGACCAGATAGTCCAATAGTCCTTCGGATGTTCACCTTCATTGCCACCGGGATACTTGCTCCTCAACATAACTTTCGTGCCTTCCATCTTTATCTCGGTTTCCATTCATGTGTATTTCTGTGCATTCCGATATCTTCCCAACTCGTCTATTCAAATAAATACATTCTTCCGCTGGCGCCTCTGGCCAGCCTGGTTCACCTAATAATATGCAATTTGCTCCGGCTAAGCTAGCGCATAACAGATGCAACGACTTCATCTGTAACTTAAAAACTATGACGATTTCATGGACACAGTGTTGCGGTAAAGGTCTCTGAGCCAGGGTCGCGGCCGTTTGCTTGACGTGTGTCTTTCGTGAAAGGAGTACTTCCCTGACGCGCGCACGGGGCTGCGTGATAATATAGAGTTGTCACTCGCATGTAAACATGCCTGAACGTGTTGGCGGTCAAAACTGCTTGGTATGTGTGCTTTCGAGACATCCCTTTGAATCGCAAACGTGGGCATCATCATTGGTATTCGAGAGCACTGGTACCACGTAGCGTAAGTGCGCTGGGGGATGCAGCGAGTACTCAGTAATTCTCGTTAACCAGCACAAACTTGATGCGTTTCAAAGGTGCCTTCAACAACGAAAACACTTCAAGTAAATACAAGTACGCGTTGTAACAAGACCGTACGTGCGAGGAAGGAACATCTATTTAGTTGAGAGCATTTCTGATCAAACTGTAAGGTTAGGCGTCATACCCGCTGTGTGTTCACCATAGCCAGCGGATTGCAGCTTCCTTTATTTCCCGGCACAAATGCGACCCAGAACAGAAAAGGCCTATCGCCATGACTGCTGCATCAAAAAACACGGCGCTCGGCAGGCGCCTGGCGCCAGCCGATTGGGCTGATCAGCTGCAGGGTCGGACGGCGGTCCGGCCCTGCGACCGCCCGCAGCGCGCTCTGGAGCGGCCCGACCGCGCGGCGAAAAAGGCCGGGCGGCGACGGCTGGCCGGCTGCAAACAATAGGGTCTGGCACAGTCGGGAGACCCTGAGAGATGGGGGGGGGGGCAGACTCCTATTCTGGTGGCCGGGCCTCGCTGCGAAGCGGGACGTGGGATATGTAGCGAGTAGAGTCTCTTGGGCCGGCACGGGTGGGGTGCGGTGCTTCCCCGCAGGACGGGGGAGGCCTCTCGTGGAAGCGTGTCTGACGTACTGCTGGTGTGGTCCTCTGCGCTGGAGAGAGCATCATCCCTATGATAAATTTGTATCACATCACGACATGCTGGATGCACATCCGAGAAAAAAGCCGGTACCCGATTTCTAACCGCCACCCTGTCTGCTCTTTCGGGGCATATTAAGCACCATCCGAGAAGGACAAGAAGGAAAACCACATTAGAACTAGATTTAGGTCAACGAGCAGCTTGTGGCAGACGCGGCCTGGACTGCACCTGTGCATGAATAGATCAGTTAGTGATGGGGATGATAGTCAGTCGGGGCGCCACACCTCAGCGCATCCGCTGCGTCAAGCAATTTGTTCAAAGCTCTTTCAATTTCCAGCGCTTGTTTGCGGCTTCTGTTATCACTTATTCTGAAACCCCCTTCGATTTGAACGTAACAGTTAGATTACAGCCAATTTGAAACGTCAGGATTTCTCGATTTCGCCGGCAACCCTCTGGGAAATTCAACGCATCTAAAATTTAAATGCAACCAATCAATGTCGTTTCCATATAAACTCATATGGTTCCCACTTAGGCGCGCGGCACGACTCCGAGGAAGATTGATGATTGCTAAAATCGATACGGTGTAGACGGGGTGGCACCGGCCCGGGTACCGCTCGCCCCGTGGCAGCCCCCACCTCGAGTCAGCTGAACGCATCGCCAGAGTAGCACCACAGGTGGCAGGATTCAGCGCAGCCCATTGTAGACATTGATACCCGGAGGAGGACTTGAGGACTTGGTCCAGACGTTTGGTCGCACTCGTAATCCCATGGCCTACCCCTGCTGTTGAGACATGAGAGGTAGCTATTCCGGCGCAGGCAGCCTGGAGCATGGCAACCGGCGTTTGTCACGTTTAAAATGACGTAATTAAACGATAAATTATCGACGTGATGTCATTAAGCCGATAACATAAGTACATTGCCATCACTGAACCCTACAAACATTGTATGTGCACCTTCTCAGACGCATGGTGTTTGTTGAGCGGGCTCTCGTCTTCTGTGGTGACAAATGCTTCCCACAAAATGTGCTCATCGAGGTGGATGGATACCGCTTCAGATATAAACAATAAAATAAAAACATTAGAGCTCTCAACGGTGAATGAGAAAGTGGGGCTATTCCATCATTTCAGTTCAGGCAGCATCAGCAGAATGGCAGCCCACCGACGGTAGCCAACGCGCGCCACCGCCCGCGCGACGGCGCCGAGCGGCTGACAGTAATGGCACTTGCAGTGCACACAGCGTGTGTACACAGAGGCACCTCGGGAGTGCAGGCCAACAGCCGGCAGCGCCTGCCGTCAACAGCAGCCATGAGCGCGCGTTCCGAGAATCGGCCCCAGATGAGGCGATCGGCCGGGGGCCCGCGCCGCGGCGGCACGAGGCCGGCCGTGCTCCCTCCAGGCGCGCCCACTCCGCGGCGGCATGATGGCGCAACTGGCGGCTGTCGCCGCTAGGAGCGGGCGGCCTCGCGCCACAGCCAGCCGCCGGTCCCTGCTGCGATTCAGTGATCACAGCCAGCCGCCGGTCCCTGCTGCGGTTCAGCGACAACCCGTCGGCAGCCAGTCGCCGCTCTCGGTCCAGAGCTTTTCGGTTGGTAGCCACTAGCACGACGCATGCAATTCGTAGGCTGAACCGACTGATCCATGCGACAGAAGCCATTCGTTTTTGGAGCCTTTGCGACTCTACCATTGAGACCTGTTCGCGATCAGAATAGCTCGCCGTAAAACAGGTACGCTGTCGCGGTGTCATCCCGACTCCTCACACTCTTTAAGTGGAGGA